GGGATTATTTGTTATAGTAGCTGACATTTCACTAATACAGTTAGATGAAAGACAACAGTAAATCTGCCATTCCCAGGGTGTATTTCAAGAACATCTGACTAGTCTCTGCCTCCTGGATTCCTAGTCACTGTAAAATTGTTTAGCACAGGGGTTTATAACTTTTCTTGTGCCATACTTACTTCTCTGGCAGCTTAGTAGATCCTATGGATACCTTAGAGAAGAATGTTTTCAGATGCTTAAAATAAACCATGTAGTGTTACAAAAGAAACTAATTTGGCTGGGCACGGCGGCTCATGCCTGTAATCTAGCACTCTGAGAGGCCAAGGTGGGCGGATTGCTCGAGGTCAGGAGTTCGAAACCAGCCTGAGCAAAAGCAAGACCCAGTCTCTACTATAAATAGAAAGAAATTAATTGGCTAACTAAAAATATATAGAAAAAATTAGCTGGGCATTGTGGTACATGCCTGTAGTCCCAGCTACTTGGGAGGCTGAGGCAGCAGGATTGCTTGAGCCCAGGAGTGTGAGGTTGCTGTGATCTAGGCTGATGCCATGGCACTCTAGCCTGGGCAACAAAGTGAGACTCTGTCTCAAAAACAAACAAAAAACAAAAGAAACTAATTTGATTGAAATAGTTACCATAATCTTAATAAACACTATTTATGATATTGTTATTAACATTTTAAATAGAAAAACAACACATTTAAAATGTAAGCAAGTTGGAAGAGAATTTTATTTTTTACAGACATATCAATATGAAGGCTGGCTAGTGTTGCTTGCTTAGAATGAGAATATTGAACTATGGGGTGGTCTTTGTCAAGGCAACACTCATGTCATGTTGGGCATTTAGTCAATGTTGAATTGTTTTGATGGCTGCAAGTATAAAAATCCCAATTCACAGAGATGCATTGAGGCATTTGGAACGAAAGCTCCCATAGATGGTATTACAAGGCCAGGACACACTTCTCTCAAGAAATACCAGAATTCTCCAAGGATTTTTAAGTTAGACTTCAATATAGTAAGATCTTAGTTTTAATATCAATGAGCTCATATTTGGCGAGATCAACATCTATGAGATACAGTTTATATCAGAAACTGTTCAGTAACACATAATGAAAATGACTCATCCCATGCCACATATTGACCAACAAACAACTGTGAAGAGAGAATGTATTGCAGATGTCTGGGTAACCAGTGGTTGGTGACTAAATAATACCTGGACTTGGGTTGTCTGAATGTTGGTTGGCAACATCGTTCAAAGAGACTGTGATCATTTGTGATCTACTGTTAGGTCTGATACCTACCATAGTTTAAAAGAATTTTGAGATCTATCTTATTAACATATTTTAAAGTACACAATGCTATACTATTAACTATAGGTACTATGTTGTCCATCAGATCTGTAGAACTTATGCATCTTGTGTGACTATATCCCCATGCCCATTGAGCAATAATTTCTCATTTCCCTCTCCCCTTAGCCACTGGACACCACCATTCTATTCTCTGCTTCTATGAGTTTGACAGTTGTAGATACCTCATAATAGTGCAGTCATGCAGTACTTGAACTTCTGTGGCTGGCTTATTTCACTTGGCACAGTGCCCTCCACGTTCATCCACATTGTCACACCTGGTATCACATTTTCTTTATCCATTCATCTCTCTGTAGATAATTTGGTTATGTCTATATCTTGGCTATTGTGAATATTGCTATAATGAACATGGGAGTGTGAAGATCTCTTCAAAATCCTGATTCCAATTCTTCTGGATAAATACTGAGAAGTGGGTATTGGAGATAAATCTCATGTCGTGTTATCATCACAAAACAAAAACAACACAAGGATATTTGGGGAGGTGACAGGTATGTTTAGTACCTTGATACAGCATCACAGGTGTAAAAATATGTCCAAACTCATAAAACTATATACATAAACTATGTGCACTTTTGTGTGTCAATTATATCTCAATAAAACTTAAGAAGTTTGAAATATGAGCAACAACAATAATGCAATGGGCATTATCTTATTTCTATTGGTGAAGAGTCAAAAGTACTAATAATACTCCCATGGCTTATTGCTTGCATTTATAAGGAAAGAAAATGCCAAATTTCCATTAAAACTACTGAAATACAGGTGTAGTATTATTTCCCCACCAAGTCCAAGAACCCACTAAATTTTATCCATGGATCCCTTGGAGAGAAGTGTGGGCTTCAGGTAAAAACCCTTGCTCTAGCCCCTTGAGATACCATTGTTCTGGGATTGAAAGCTCTCTTCTTGCCCATGGGGCAGTCTGTGCTGTGGATTTGGCTTTCATGTGGCCAGGCATATGTCTTGAAATGAGGAAATAATTCAATCCTCACCTCAGATAGCTGCTTCTACTTTTCTCCTTGTACGTTTACCCTGTGTCAGAGCCCCTACCAAAAGGACAAATTGCTAGGGCTAAGGTTTCAGGCCAGGCCAAGTACAGTCCAGGATTGCCAAACTTAGAACAAGTGTCAGACTTCTTTTTCACTGCCTGTTCAGTGGTGGGATTGGGAGCAGCTTTCAAAGCTTCTATTCCATTTCTTCCCTGAAAGCAGTCATTTTTTCCTCATAATTTTATATGAGTACGATGTAAAATATAGGGTATTCTATAAAACAAAGTGAAATTAACCTATTTAGATACAAAAATGCAAACAAGTACAAGTGTTCACCACATGTATCCTTCCTTAGTTAAAATAATCTAAGGACTATATTTCACACACACACACACACACACACACACACACACACACTCAGGCAGAGAAACTTGGCGTTATGAGCAAATCAGGTGCTCATGTGACACATCCACAAGATCACGAGCTTCAAGAGGAATGGAACTGTGTTTACGTCTCTGGATCTCTAGTACCAGGCTCAATGAATGACAGAGCGTGTACTTGGGAAAAGTTTGTTAAAGTGAACTAAAGCCTGTTAGTTTAGTGGTGATTTTAAAATATCTTGGAGTAAGCAGATATCTAAAATAACTGGCACAATTTGTTTTTAACTAAAGTAAGATTAATTGAATGTAACAGAGTCTTTTAGTAAACCTATAACCTTGGGAAGATTAGTTAAACAATCTGTGCCTCATTTACCTCACTGGTAAAAGAGGGATAATAGTACTTACCCTTAGAATTATGAGGATTAAATGAGGCAGCACATGAAAAGTGTTTGGAGAATAATACTTATCACATGATAGGCACACTGTCAACTTTAACTGTTAAATTATTACTAGAAGTAGTAGTGTTCATAGTAGGTATCTTATTGTATTCGTTCATCACTGTAAGAAGTGCCAAGGAGTACTAACATGCTCAGAACTATTTGTTCTACAGTAACTTCTAGATCTGATTGCTTATTTAGCTCTTGTGTATATATTTGATTTCATTTTGTTTTCCACCTTCAGTGCCAGCCAGCCACGTATCACCCTGAGTTATTCTCAGGCTTCTTGTCCCTAGAGGTCCCCTCTAAATTAAAATTTCTAATTGACTATGAACTTAGAAACAAGATAATGCAAGATTATTTGGACTGTGTACGAAATAGGATCTAATTGATGGGCCTATGTATCCTATGAGTAAATGCATCTATTTTCCTGATAACAATATTTGGATATCTGGAAAGATCTGTTTTCTGGATAGACAGAAATAGATAGATGTCTTCCTAATACGTGAGTTATCGCTGTGTTTGCAAATGTGCCAGCATCACTTTCTTCATACTCCCCTTAACATGATTACCTTCCCCATCCTCACCTCTGGTCATCAGGCAACAAATTCGCTCAAAGCACCAGAAGGTCATGGTTGGAAAACAAAGAACTGGGTGATTTCACAGCTCAGTGGCCACTTCAATAGTTCATGATTTATGTACAGGAACAATTCTAGGCCTTGGGGGTATTTAGAGATGAGCAGGACTGGCCAGCCACCACAGTGACATTTACTTTAGATTCCAACGTACTTCCCGTACTTTAGATTCCAACTAATAAAACAAAAGATGGTATTTCTTCCTGTCAACAGGCTGACATGCCCAATGTGATGTCTGGCTACTGCTAGTGGGCAGAGGCAGGGCCGTGGCTAAGCCGCACTGGTGGACGTGAATAGGGCTACACCGTCCCACCTGCTTCAGCAGAGGAGCAAATACCGGAATGTTTAGATCCGCAAGTGGTTGTGTCAGTCTTGATGTATTTCCTGCCGTCTAACCAGTTGGTAATACAAAGTTTATAAATCTAACCCTATGGCGGAGACAAGTTGGATGGGAGATTTTGTGTTTAGGAAGAATACGCCCCTGGGGCTTTTAAACAGAACAGTATTGAGTTGTTTGTGTCACTATTTTATGGCTCTGAGTAGTCCATTCTAGCTAGACAAGATTTCAAGAATTATGGTGACATCTGGCTAAAGAAGGGTATATTTTTAACATGCGCACATGTCACTTCGCAGCTGAGGGAGACTTCTCATGGTCTCTACTGCTTTGGCTGGACCAGTTTCCCTTCTGGCTTCCTGAACAGGCCCAAGTCTTGAGAATGTAAGCCTTCCCAGGGAAGGGCTTGACTCTGTCTGTGCACATGAACAGCACGGCCAGACAGGAGGCAGCTCCCATGGAGATAAGAGCATCTGCTTTGGGGAAGTACCGCACAGTGGGAAGTTCGTGGGACTAGGAGTTACAAATGCAGGCTTCCAGTCTCAGCTCCATCACTGAACTTGCCGTGTGATTTGCCTTGAGCAGATGTCTGGACCTCTCTGGGGGTCAGTGTGGAAACCATGGTATCGCTCAGATTTTCCTTTAGGAGCAAACTTCCTGCAAGGATTGTGATTAGCTGACATCTCCAGCTGCCACACCCCCAGGATCCACCACAGCATCCTTGCCACGGCCACGTCCTTCCTGAGGTGCTCCCAGTGACTGAGCACAGCAGCGGGACAGAGCCCAGCAGTACTGCGGAACAAAGGGCTTCTCTAATGAGTGAACACGCTCTAGGCTCCCCGATGTCTGGCCAGCACTCCAGCGCTTCACTGGACTCTGCGGCTCTTCCTGCACAACCCTCCTTCCTCCTCCATCTCCTCTCTCCTTTTACAGGGGTCAGACCTGCATCCCACTTGGCAGACCCCCCTGCCTGTCCCTGCTCCTTCTCCCCCCTTTCTTCACAGGAGTCTTCCCCATAGATCTTTTGCATATCAAACTCGATTTTGGTATCTGCTTCTCCGAGGACCTGAACCGACACAGTGAGTGGACGTGTGTTGTGTTTTGCTCACCCCATACATCTTCCCTCTTCTCGCAGTAATTCCATCTCCATGTAAATCCAACCACTTTATGGCTTTTCCCCAGCTCTGATCATGGGATTATGGTAGGACTACTCTGCACGTGTCCTGCCACTTCATTCTGTTGCTAGACAGATGGGCACGTGAGCCAGTCAGGCTAATTACTGTGCTCATCTTCCTGGTCAAAGTGGCTCCAGTGGGCATGTGACCAAAACAGTGCAATCAGAGTCCTCCCCTGGGATATGACACAGGGACGCTTAGAGGGAGAGTTCTCTCCTTCCCGTTAGACATGAGCTTCGTGTGTGAACTGAGAACTTCTGCTAGCCATGCATCCTGCCCCAGGGAAGAGGCTGGGGCTGAGACCAGGAAGCCAATGGTCAGAGAAGAACAGAGGTAAAGGCTGGGTGTCCAGAGGCCCCAGTCCAGGGCTTCTCAGAGCTTACCAGCTTTCTGTAGTTTTTCTTTTGAATCTGAAAGCTACTCCAGAATTCTTTCACTAAATCCTCTGCCTTTTTGTTTTTTAACTAAAGTTGGTTGAATTAGGTTTCTGTCACTTACATAGGAAATAATTTTCAATAATAGATTCAGATTCTAATAGATTGATTCTATATACTAGTTCTATAAACTGAGGGTGATTGGAATGAAATGTAGGATGGTTTCAAATATTAACAAAATGCCAGGCACTGGACAGGCAGTGAATCTGTATCCTTTGAATGAAACTGTAGAAACAAGAAAGAGAGAACCCAGGTCCAAGAATAAGAGTATAGTTTGCAAAAAGGCATAATAGTGCCTGGCACATTATATGCACTCAGTAAATGTTTTGTCATCCTAAACTAAGAAAATGAAAATAACTGGTTTTACAGCATGTTTGTTCCACCAGGTGATCTGTGCCTCTTCGTGACAAATCAGGGTGCCTGAGAATGGCGTCCCCTCTCAGATGTGACTCGACTTCCGCTTTCAAGGCAGAATTCACCAGCTGGAGAGGAGCTGAGGTGAGAAGGGCAGTGATGAGAGGGGCCTAGGTATTTTCAAAGGGGCTGACAAGAGGCAAAGAGGAAGAACCACACGTGAGTAGATGGCAGGGTATCCAGGCGTATCTGCAGCCACCCATGGCCTTTTCTATCATTTCTGTCAAAGAACCTCAGTCCACAGGTTCTCCAAGCAGACATATAATTTGGCTCTTGTCAATGGAATATCCTTTAAATATTTGTTCAACACTTATTTAGTGGGGGTGAGTTGGTGTTAGTGAGGAATTGAGTCACTAGTGTTGACTTCCATGCCAGGCCACTGCCTGGTTTGACAATCGCAATTGATTTAACCATGATCTGTGTGCCAGGAGTCCACAAGGAGGGTGGGGTAAGTTGGCACCACATTGGTGCTTTGGTTGGGGTTAGCCTATCTTCTAGGTTGGCTACCTGTGGGTTAATGAGGCTGTGCTCATACCAAGGAGTAATAATGAAAGAGAAGGCCTATAGGGAAGGTTTCTCAGATTGCCTGCCTGGACACGGCCCAGGGCAGTAGGAGGGGTGATTGGAGGGGGTGATTGGAGAGGCCATCACAGGAGGGCTGGTTTCTTCACACATGTCATATAGCTGCCTCTATTTCTCTCTCTCCCGTCACAAATCCTTCAGCCTCTCATTCACTTTACATTGAAACAGCCACAGTAAATGGCCTTGATTTCTAATAGGGGAGTAAACAGAAAGCATACGAAAAACTTACCCTTGAACCCACAAGTGCCCTACATTTTTTTTAAGTTTATGGAAGAACATAATTAAAAATTTTGAGTGGTTGGCTTACCGTTGTAAATAGTAATCGTAAGAATGAGAAGAGGGCATGATGGGAGGCTTGTGTTTGTGGAGATAAAGCGGAGGTGCATGACTTGGCGGAACACGCTGGAGAAACGACCCTGGGCATCTCACTGTGGGCTCCAGGTGCGGTGGGGAAGAGGCTCCTCTGGGGCAGCAGGTGTGTCCCCTGGGGATGACTCAGGGGTGGCAATGGGAACAGTTCCGGGATCTCATTTTGGAAGCTACAGGCTCATTTACCTCAAGAGCCTATTTTGGCATTAGCTGTCAGTGAATAAAAACGTAGCAATTTGCTCAGGGAAATGACACTGTTTGGTCACAGAGTCAGCAGAGGACTGACAAACCAGAGGGGCCTTGTGAGAACATGTATTCCCACCACTTCCCCACTGAATTCCAGGGGCAGATGATTGTGGCCATTGTTGTCTCTGCTGCTTTTGTCTTGTCTGAGGTCCCCAGGTTCAGACCTGAGATCCTCCCTCTCTTCCCCAACACACCATTTCCGTTCCCACTCCACTTTGATGAATGCATCCCCATTCCCCCTTTGAGACTGCCACGGCCTCATGACTTTTTGTCTCACCTTCATGCCCCTGCAGTCTAGCTCATCTGAGAGCCTCAATCAAGCCCAAACTTCTGTCTCCCTGCCTCTCTCCAAAGACAAGATTCACTTCCTTGTTTCATAACAAACGTGATCAACAATCATCAGATGAGCTCTGACTGATAGCATTTACACAGAAATGAAATACACATAGGCCCCAGAGGCCATTCTTCGAAGGAGCTCATATGCTAATGAGTTAGACAGAGGACACAAAACAGGTAAAAAGCAAGGGAAGTCAGGAAAAAAGGTCAGATGCTTCCAAGTAGGGAAAGGAAGGACATCGTCATTGAAGCAGTGGCTTTGAGTAGGACAGTGAAAGACAGGTAAAGGCTTCATATATAGAAGAGTGACACAGGCAATGAATGCTTAGGTACCAACATGCAGAAGCAGTGAAGATATGAAATCACAGTCAAAGGACTGAACTCAACAGACTGCAGCTATGGGAATGTTAATTGCACTGGCAGACAGCTCACTTACTGCTACCCTATTTTACGGTGGCTCCTGGAGGTTGTAGATCTACTTAAAACTTTTGCTCCATAGAGTAGGAAGCTGGTGCCCTTCTCTACTGCCTGGGCAGAGACTGGCCCCTAGCAGGTGCTCAGTAAGTCCTGATGTGTGAGTGGGTGTTCAGAGTCTGCAGAAGAAAAAGCAGGAATGACGTTAGCTAGCCAGCATGTTACTACTCCAAGCAACCTGTTTTCCTAGGATGACATCCCAGTCTCAAAAGGGATGGGCCACAGTGTAGTGCAACGCCCTGGAGAACAGCCTCACAGCTGCCCTGTGTCTGTTTGGCCCATTGACTTTGATGGAGTGAGCCTCCAATTTTCAGTTTACTTTGAGTCCGTGGACATGGAACAAGAGCTTGGTTGGTGGAGTTTTGACAAGGACTTTTGCCAGTCAAATGGTTATCGAGCCAAGACCTTTACTAATACATTCATAATGAATGGGGCCTTGTTCTTTTGCTATTTTTTTTCTCTAAAAAGTTCTTGAAGGCACTTTCAGAATTTCTAGGCTATGTGAGATTTGAGCTTGGAAGAGAATTGTCTCATTTGTTTTCTCTGGAGAAATTTGCAGTTCTTTGAATAAATAATCAAGGGGGTCTTTGCAAATAATTCTGAAAATGCCTCTGATTCAGTTAGAAAAAAAAAAAAAAACCTTACAACTTTCCACCCTCTTTTCCTGTCAGTTGATATTGCTAATACTGACACAAAATAGGTAATAAATATACGTTGATTAAGTGGTTGTTCAATTGTTGAGCCAAGGAAGTTGTCCCAGGGTTTGTTTCTCTTTATTTTCAAAACTACTCCTTTACTCCAAGTGCTCCAGACACCCTGGGAATAGGGCCACTTCTATGGACTCTGAGGCCCCATGTCTCTCCTCCATGTCCCCTCCATTCCTGGGGAATGGAGATTCTGTATTCTTTGTTGTTCATGTTGCTCAGAGTGGGATTTGCTTTGTCCCTGCCAAAGAATTATGTTTCAGTCAGCCTGGTTTTCTTGGTTTTGGCAAACCCTGGTTGATATTTCTCAATTACAAACTAATGACTCATATTGCCGCATCTCCTGATTTAAAATTAGCACACCAGAATGGGTTTGAGAAATCGAAGAGAGCTGGAAAATAAAGCCAATCCTTCCCAGTCAGGGACAACCTCTGTAGTCTTCGGTGCCGCAAGCAAGCCTGAAATAAAAGGCAGAGAGATCTAGGAGAGAAGAGTTTAATCAATTAGGAATTTTGATAGTGTAACCTGAGTTGGGTGAATAATTATATTTTGTGAGATGGAATAGTCATTGTACTTACCAAAATCATCTTAAATTATGCAGGGGTAACAAATCAACCCCAAAATCTTAGAGACTCATACAGCAAAGTCATATTTCTCTGCTCACCCACCATGTTCAACACAAGTCAGAAGGCAACTCTAACCAGACCAAGGACTGGTCTTTGTGGCAGCAAAGAAGAGAGACTAGATAATTTCACAATAGGCTTTTCACATTTCAGCCAAGAAATGACACTTGTTACTTCTGCTCATACTTCTTAAATCAGAACAAATCACATGGTCCTCCCCAGTTGCAAGAGGATAACTACAATTCTCTGTGCACTTGGCAGGAAAAAGAACCAAATACTCTATTAGTGAATACTAATAATGTCAACAATATCTGCCTGATGTCATCAAACGATTGCTTCATTTTTCTTCCCACACACAAAAAACACCAATTTTCCTGCCCACAGTAGAAAATTCAAAGTTTAATTCATTCATCACAAGTAGTCAACATCTAGAATGTTAGGGTCATAAATGGTAGTCCCTATATTATGTCCTGGCATTCTTTCTTTTCAATCCAAAGATTCATATATTAAAAAGACATATGCGACAATGAAATGGGGCAGGATTATCATGAGAAAAACTGTCATGTAGGTGAAGAGAGAACAAAAGTACTCATCAGTCACTGAACTGACAATTCTGAAATCCAGCTTGGGGGATACTCCAGGGTCCCCTAACCCAGGGAAGGAGAATAGTATTGGATTAGACCCTGATTATGCTCCCTAGTTCTTTGTTCTCTTCGACCTCTGGATCTGCCCTCTGGGTCGGTCTTTGTTTTTTCATTTATATCCATCTTGGCTACTTCTGATAAGAGCTTTGATGACATACCCTGTTTGATAGCTGAGTGGCTTTCTCAGACTTCTTCTTCCCTGAGCTCATCTCTTTATTATGATACTTTGACAAACGTCACAACTGTTACCACACTATTTATTGCCATCCTCTTTCCTCACCCTGTCTCCTAGAGCTGTAACTTCATCAAGTTCATGATCTGATTCCCACACCACTACTGACAATGACTTTACCCAACATTGTTACACTGCCTGCCGTGAATCTCATCTCCGTTTTACCCAAACTCCAATATCACTGTCCTCAGGAGCCTCTGTCTACCATATAACATGAAAGCCAATGCTACATATTTAACGTTTTTTTTGCCAATCCTCACTCTTCGCACCAATTTTTTATTAAGCATATTAGACTTGATTATGCTGCAATAACCAATTAAACCTATAATCTTAGTAGCTTGACACACCAAATGCTTGTTTTTCTGCTTCTGACGAATGCTATTAACTGCTCATTAAATATTGTACGTATCATATCATCCAAGGCATATTGGATCAGTGTCCCTGGATTTAGGTGGGAATGAAGAAAAATAGAGTTGATGTTTATTGAGTATCTGGTATGCTCCATCAAGTGATTAATGCTTTCATGTATTAAAGATGCCAAGGAATTTATTCAAAGTCACAGAGCCAGAATTTGAACCCAGATCTGCCTGATTCCCAAGCTCAAGCCTTTTATATTTTCTGTTATTCTTATTAATTTCTACATTTGCAGTTTTTGTAGTGTGTGGCACAGAAAAAAGGATGCTTTAAAGAAACAATTCTAGAATTTTCCTGTGCAATCAAGTCACATGGGGATCGTATTATGATGCAGACTCTTATTTCTGAGGATTGGCCTGAGAGTCTGTATTTCTAACCAGGTGTGCCGATATGATGCTACTGGTCTTTAGGTCATTTTTCGAGTAGCAAGTTTCTAGAGCATTTTTGTCATAATCGAAGATAATCTTGTGGATGACCTTCACAGATCTCAAATTATCCAAAGCAATGTCTTTTCTGGACATATAGAAAGAAATCATTTTAATCACACATTGAACAAGCAATAAATTTTAAAAAGATAGATACATACATACATACATACATTCACAAAAACCACTGGTAGGAAATTAAGTACATATTAGCTCTTGATGTTAAGCATACTTTACATTGAAAATGACCATACTGAGGGACATTAATGAGCCTATTCTTAGGATTCATTTGGTGAGGTTATGCCTTGAAGTAAAGAAAACAGAGGGTTCTTGGCCAAAATATTCTGAGCTTTTGATAGTTGATAAAACCAAAACATGTTTCATTGTCAGGTACCTCTTTATTTCAACCACATCTAAAAATAGAAAATAAGAGAAAGGTATGTGCGTACTGAAAATAGTCTTCTCAGAATGTGTTGTTCATAGATTTAAGGGTTAGAACGGAATTCATCCCCACATGAGGAGGATATTTTAGCCTGTGAGGCAGAGTTGTGAAACTCTTCCAATTACTCAGCCTTCAAGAATTTTCAGAAGTGGGATTGGTTAGTCAAGGAGGCTGCACTATTACCTTTACATAAATGAAAGAACTTTATTTAAATGCCATCCTTAATGTGTGAGCAGAAGGTCATGGACCAGAAATAAATAGAAAATATATACTCCAGAAAGCCTGAAGATCAATGGAGCCCATTGAGGCAAGTTATTCAATTATCTTTTCAAGATACAAGAATATAAATAGAAGATCATTTAATGAGGAAAAAAAAGAGAGAACCCTGTGAAGAATATGCTATTCACAGTCCATCAATGTGAATTTAAAACATTGTCCAAACAGTTTTGTCCTCATGACACTGAAGGCTGAATGTTTCCCAGACATTCTAGGAAAGGTTACTTAAGGGTGTGCATTGTGTGCTGGAGTCCTAAATTGGTCTGAGATCATAATACAGCTGTAATTTTGGTCCTGCTAAATCAGAAATCTACCTTTCATGTATTTGCTCAAAATATCTTTTACCAAGACCACCATATCTCCTTTAATAACTCAATAATGACAGAGCTGCGTTGCTAAAAACTGTGCTGTGAATTAGATCACATTACACAAAACCTTCTTATTATCGCAAGGGGCTGTTCTCTTGAGAAAGAGTGGTTTATACTGCTAGGAGACATTGTCCAAAGCATTCTTCCTATGAGAAGAGTGCTCCTGTAGGGAATATCCAAAACTTTTGCTAAGATATTCCTCTAAAGAACTTACTGCTTTCAGAGGAGAATCATAGCCATACCGCTTGGAAACTGCCATTGTCATAAGTGACTTGAAAGCTAATATGACTTTTTCTCTAGGGAAAAAAAATATGAAGAAGAACATAATCTACAATCAATCATGGGGCTTGTGAGGGCATCCTGAAGGCTAAACATGGTTGGATCACCTGTAAACTCCTGGGCAAGATGAGGCTTGGGTGAGCACCATCAGTGACTGATGAGTATAATACTTTAACAGTTCTCTCAGTCATTCAACTGTTTTTGTTTTGTTTCCTTTTGTTTTCTTGTGCAATAAGGAAAGTGTTTGCTAAAACTGATGTATTTCAAGTGTTTCAAATTGTCCTACACAATCATCATTCCACAGAGGAAACTCTACATCCAGAAACGATATTAGTGAGTTGGAATTAATTTATGTATTGTAGGTTTCCCATGGGTTCTCATTAGCACTTTTTTCTTTTTACTCATCCTTGAGTATGGAGAGTTCTAGCTTGGACTGTTAGTATAAAAATTGAACTAATCACAATGCCTAAATGGGACTGATAATGAAAATCTATATAACCTAGTTATAACTGGGTAAAGAGAGGATTATACAGTAGGAAAGTAAAATTCAGGGATCCCAAGGAGTATCTGGCAGCATAATTTTACCAGTCCAGTTTATCAATAACCATCATACAATAGAAGGGAGCTAATTCCATGAATAGATCCAATAGGCAAAGTTTTTCTATGAACATTTTTCTATATAGCATTTTTTTAAATTTATTTTACACTTGATCTCTACTCAAGGTGACCATGGAATGAAAAGGGTCTACTTCAGAAATATCTGTGAAGATGTCGCCTTGATTCCAGAAAGTGTCCCCCCAATTCAGAATGAACTTATCTGCCATTCTGATGAAGTATTAGACCAGAGTGAATCTATATTGTCATCTAAATTTAATTTTGCTGTGTTCACCTGCATTTTGCTTCTTGTGTGTACCTTTGCGGATTAATGAAGGACACCTTCAAGTCAGAACAGGGGTGTTTTTGTATTAGGAATCCACATGAACTGGCCATTTTCAATCTATCACTATGGCCTCTAGAAATTTTTATTCTGTTGATCTACAATGAAGGATCAACAACTGGAACAGTGCTTGTCTCACACTGCCATTATCCCTTGCCCCCCAAATTGGAAGATGCTAAGGGAGTTTGTTGAACTTTTTTCTTGTTGCTTCTGGCAATAGGGCATGGGAATGATTTTTCATTCTTTTGGCCCCCCTATAAGGGATTATCTGTATGGATGACACCTCTGGAGTCATGCAGTGCAATGTTTGCATGGCTGTATATGGCCCCATGACCTTCTTTCATTTGTTTCCTCTGTAATATTTGATCAATATTGCTCTAAGCTCACATATGTTTTCTAGTATAATTGCTGATAATGCTTTTCCCTACTATTATTTTTCTTTGGACATTTGTTAATTCTCTTGGAAGACAGTCTGGCTAGTTCCTGAAAGGACACAACCCTATCTCTCACCTTCTGTCTTCTAATGTCTCCTGGCCAACTCCCACTGTCATGATGCCATGATTTTACTGGTTTCTGTGTGCTGATATTTCCCCTGAGACTCTGGCCCAAGTGTTGAAGAAAAAAAAGACACTTTGTAGTAGACATTTCTTATTTATACAGATCCAGAATTTGTTCTTCTTTGGTCTGAATTAGCACATTGCTTTTCCTCTGGGGAACCACTCCTGGGCCTCTGTGTGGTCTGGTGGGACATCCTGAGTGCCCTCCCTCAGCCCTTACTGGTGCCGGTGACCTAGGTGACCAGTCAGAATCTATCACCCCCATGGCAATGGCTATTGGTTCAAGGTTAAATACATCACTCAAATGGAATAAGTCAGGTTTGGCCCTGAGAGTTGATTTGGTCTCTGGGATAAAAAATTCACTCTTATATTCAGAAACCATGAGCAATAAAAATCATGCAAACCTAAAGTTTCTAAGATTATTGTCTTCAGTCATATATGAAAGAAATGCATTGTTGGACGAAGTAAAAATAAATTAAACAAATATCTAAATATAAAAGTTTTTAAAAGAAATCAAGGCTCAAGGTATAGGAATAGCAACAGTTTTCAATAACTTTGTGAAAGGCTCTAGATCTTGCAGTGCCTGCAGCCCAATCTGTATTTCTCAGTTATGGGTGAGTTAGATTTCTATCATTTGCTAACAAAAGGATCATGACTAACGCACTTTTTTTACTTCCCATTACCACAGCTGATATTCAAGATTTAAGTAAGGCTTTGATAAAGGTTCTAGAGTAGGGTTCTAGATAAAGGTTCTACAGTAGGGAAATGGAAAAAGAACAGCATCCAATTAGCTGGTTTACATATCATAATCCCCTCATCTTTATCCTGCAGTTGATTGCATCTCGTTGGCCAGGTTCCATAGGTCAGAGGACAGTGGTCACCCTTCCACTGGACAAGCCTGAAGGCCCTTCCGAAAGTCAAACCCGAGCTACCTATGGTCTTTCAGTAAAGGCAGGCTGTCTCCCACAAAGGTGTATATGGTGTTTGGGTGTCTCCTCTCACATGATGTGCTGCCCTATAAAGTCCAGTGAGTGAGGCTTGATGACATGGAAGATTTTGCCACATTTCTGCTCAGCTTAGCTGAGGCCCCTCCACATAAAACACATATATCCACACACAACACATGTGATATGGCTACATCCCCCCATGCCCTCATACACACAACACATACCGGACACTTGCCATGTGCACACAAATACCCACACATGATGTGTATTGCACATGCATACACACTAGAGCGGAATGAACTGTAATATTTTTGAGATACAGTGTCAACGATTATGAAGAAGTATGTAGGCTGTTATAGTCAATGAGTTATTTAAACAGAAACATCGAAGCAGAATAAAATCAGCAAATCTTCCCTTTCAGCCTTAATTCCTCCTAGCCCACTACAAATCTTTTGTGTTTAAAAATGACTTGAACTCTTCCACTTCTGTTTTTTCATTCATACTGTTTATTCAAATGCCATCCTCAATTCTAAACACCTAATGAACAAATCTAATCTTCAGGTTCCTGCCCAAAATACTTAGGCTGGCCTAAGTTCAGATCTTTCTTAAGATGTCAGTTTACTGGAAACTGAATTCTTATGGTGTGAATTAAATACCCGTTTAAATGATGCATGATGTTCTCATGTTATAACACTTTTATTGTAAGGCCTTAAGATTAGGATCTATGTCTTATATGTATACATTTGGTGCTTAATGCAGTGTTGCATGCATGCTAGTTGCTCAGGACATCTGTAAGGACAAGCCCTCTATAGAAGAGGAACAGGCAGCCTCCCTGTCTCCCCCTCCAGCGTGGTGTGTAATCCGCTGGCCCTTAGCCACAGGGCCTTCCTTCTTCAGACACCCTCTTAGAGAATAGGTTATTAAAGCCATAAACCCAAGATCATAAATAACTTTCCCAAGTCCCAATAAATCTGTATTTCATATAAAGCATGTTATTTTTGAGAAGAGTCCCAATTCTTTTGGAAATCACGTAGTAAGAAATAAGGGAGGTATCTTCCACGGAATCACATAATGGTTTCACATAAGGCTCTTGTCAGTCCTCACTCAAAACCTAACACACTGGCCAATCTGATACCACAGGCTTGGTGGCTTCAGCCTTCAGCACAGAAAGCTCATTTTCTTCCTCTCTCTTGGGGCCTGAATTTCTACTGCCCAGAAGTCATTTTTCTTAAAGATTTCATTTTTAACATCAGTGTACGAATAATAATTTTTTAAAAAGTCATTTTGTGCCTGAACAAGATTGAGACAAATCAAGTGTTTTTCTCTTTTGTTTCCTGCTTGGTTTTAGCTTCATTGGGACTTCCATGGCCTTCCCTGGTGACCCTATGAGGGTAGGCAAAGGTGGGGCAGCTAGCAGAAGATGCCAGGCTTCCCATGACTGAGAAATAGAGACATTTTTAATGTGTTAGGATACAAGAACATTGATGTCCGAAGCCCAGAGAATTTAGCTAACTCTGAATTTAGCACTTTCTAAATGGACGCATCGGTATCAATGTTGTCATTAATCAACTCTCGGAGCAATTTACCAAACTCTGAGTCTAAATGCTGGAGTGAGTTTCATCCAGTTTATCTTTGGAAAAAGACTATTAAGTTATGTCAATGTCACAATCAGGAAAAAGTCAAAATGTTCCTAACTTATTTTGAAGTATCACAGACCATTTTTCCATGTATTTATTGATGTAACAAATATTTACTAAGCAGATACTTGGTGCCTGGGGGTTAGAGATGTATTGGTCAGGGGTATCCTCAGGTATGCAGGCCTCTGGGCAAGTAATTTTCTATATAAACTATTTGAGTTGCCAAAAATCAGTATGTCAGCAGCACCAGGCAAGCCAGTCTCATGCCATTCCATAAAAGGAATACTATGCTGTCAAGTGGTAACTAAATTGCACCCAGACCCTCTCCCAGAATCCTAGAACCAAGGCCTGGCTGTGTGACCCCAGGAAAACTCCATCTACCCAAATGGAACTGCTGATCCTAAATGATCTTTGGCACTGGAAGGGAACTTATGAAATCCCCAGGAATCTACTCCAAAGTGAGGTTGCCTCATGTTCAGAGTCTGGGTCAGGTACCCCTTGTTGTGGGTCAGAAGGTGATGTGGATATCAATGAGTAAGGCATGATTCCTATTCTCAAGAAAATCTCCTATTGTGTGAATTGTTCTTCTAACTCTGTTTGCCATGAAATATAACACTCAAGTATTACAGATGCTGTGATAAAGTGATATGTATGGTATAGTACAAAGTCAAAAGAAAAAGTGGTCAGTATTTGAGCAATCTAAAGCAATAAATAGAAATACACTTATATGATTATGAAGTTGGAGGTTTATGGTTATGGGATATCATTTTAAAATGATTGTGGAATTTCGTTGTTTAGTTTGTCATGTAACTCAGGTGTCTGTAGAAACTTCAACCTTCCAAATTGACAATCAGATATGGGTTACTAGAAATACCAAGGGGTTTTGATGTAAAAAAAAAAACTTGTATTTGTATCCCAGCTCTTCCCACCACTTACTTGTTTCATGGGACTGGAGAAAATAACTCCACTCAGCCTTAGTTTCCTCATCTGTAAAATGGGGACCATAGTATGTATTTCACTAGGTTGTTTTGAAATTTAAATGACAGATTTGTCTGTAAAGCCACGCTCATGGCATATAAGATTTATTTGTTCTTAGAATAAGAGCAATTGTAAAAAAATATATGTTAAAAGGAAAATGTTTTTTAAAATAAGATTGTCAGTTCAGTCTAGTAGATGAGCCTTTCCTACGAGCTGATCATTTGCAGGCATGGAACCCAAAATGTTAAATTCCAGGCCCTGCAGTGAAGGCCAAGCTATGTCAGCCAGGAAGGGTGGGCTTCCAGGCTGACACATGCATTCCACATGCTTTCCCTAAAGGCAATTTGTGAAAGATATGTCTATCAGCCTCCAGGCTTCCTCACTGTCCTAGTCAGTTTGGGCTGCTATCACAAAATACCATAGACTTATAGAATGAGTGGCTTAAACAATATTTATTTCTCAGAGTTCTGGAGGCTGGGAAGTCTAAGATCAAGGTGCCTCAGAATCTGTCTGGTGAGGGCCCTCTTCCTGGCTTGCAAATGTACCTTTACATGGTAGAGAGAGAGAGAGAGAGAGCTGTGGTCTCCTCTTCTTCCTATTAGAACACTAATCTATGGGGGCTCCATCCTTACGATCTCATCTAAACTTAATTACCAAATGCCCCACCTCCAGAGATCATCACTTTGGAGATTGGGGTGGGGGAACACAAACATTTGGCTTATAGCAGTCAGTTTCTAAGTACAGGTTCAGACACATAGGAATGAAGGTTTCTAGAAACCAGAGCAGTCAGAGGAAGACAGATCCATCTGATTTCTTTTACCAGATGTCAGCAAACCTTCCTCAGTACCTGCCTGTGTCTGTGGGGAGGAAGCACTTCCCCACAGAGCAGTGATCTTGAGGATTTAGTCCTTCCAGATATCCCAAGGACCCAACCTGCTGCTAACCCAACCCTTGGAGCAAGCATAGCCTAAGCTTGCAAATGGCGCAGAGCAAGGCTGGGAGCTACCGATGGGAAGCAAGGCTCTATGTGGAGTTTGGAGTTGGGACCCCCATCACATAGAGGGAGGTCACTCTTGAATGATAAAAAACAAAAACAGTTCACTTATATATTGGCCAAATAGTAGCTCAGCAGAAATTTTGTTTACAAAGCCCTAAAGTCCTAGAAAGACTCAAGGTTCAAATAATACAACTCCTTCCTTAATAGAGGAAGGACCAGAGGCTTAGGATGCTATGTGAGCCTATGCCCATGCTCCTACCCAGGATTCTAACCACAGCTTCTCCTATCCCCCATCCTCCCTGTGAGGAGGCCTACACATCAGCTACTGAGAGCTCTGATATCAACAGCAAGTGACCCATGCCCTTACAGAGGTCAGTTGAAGAAAAGGTATAATTAGGCATCAAAGAAACTCAGAACAAGGCAATTGAATTGGATGCAAAACTTTAATAAAGAGAGACGGGAAGAAAGAGCACAAGGCTAAACCAAAACTGAAAAGATGGGAAAAGAGACTGTTTAGGAAACATGAAGAAGCTAATCTGGCTCAAGGTGAAGGTGTGCTCAGGGAAGGGTTGCTGGAATACTAGGAAACCTGGAGAGTGAGGGAGGTCTCTGTAGATCACATTTCCACCCCAGGGTTTGTCTCTGGCCCTGCTCTGCCAAGGGCCTGCCTCACAGCAAAGAGAAGTCAGGAAGAAGCCATCTTTTCAGCACTTCTTGATTTTGCAGTTGGAAGCCTGAGAGCAAAACACTAGGAAATTTAGAGAAATGTTTTGCACACTTGTATAGAAAGGGCCACTGTTTTGGAATAGAAACATCTCGTTATAATAAGTC